AGTTTTTTGTCTATTAGGAAAGAACGAACATGTTCATCGCTCCACTCATCGATGCAATTCGGATAGTTCCTTTAAACATAAATAATTCAATTTTTCGACTTTTTCATAATAAATAAGTAAGGCAGTGAAGATTTTTCAACTTTGGACCAAGTCCCTCAAAGGAATAAATGAATAAATAATGAATTTGTTTCATCGCTGAAATAAAATTTATGATTCACCTTTTATGGTAAACCACATTTTAATTATTCATTTGCAAAAGAGTTCTTGCTTGGTGACCTATTCTCAATATGTAATTTTTCATCAATTCTCAGACAGTGAAGACACCTAGGCAATAGCAGTTTTATATCCATAAAGTCAAATTTATACATCGAAATGAACTTTCTCATTGTTTAGAAGGCACAGTCTGAATAAAAATACCTGACATTTTTTTAACAAAAACAAATCAAACTATTTAAATATCTTACTAAATGCTACTAAAAGAATTTGAGCAGCCATCGGAATTTCTTTGATGTCACATGATCAAATATGCTAAGAGTTATTCTTCATAGGAGATTTGTTCAATTTTTATGTTTTCTATTTTTTTACCAGTTCTGAAGATGATAAAAACAATAATAGCAAAGAGCCCAAAACTTTCTAAAATTTTGTTTATGCGTAATTTTTTTCTTCATATAAGGAAAACAAAACAGATTAAGTTTTCAAATAGTGTAAAATGTTATGAATGAGATATTTGATTGGTTTTTGAAAACAATGAAGTTTTGTTGAATTAAAAGAAAAGATTGTTACTTACGTGATCGATCGATGAGTTTCAGATGTCATTTCAGTGATCGAAAGTGCTTTTGATGTTGCAGAAATTTTTGATACAGAATTGTGGTCCAGTGGTGTTTTTCGAGACGATACTTCTTCGATTGCATTTCTCTTTTTAAGATATGCATTAATTTCCTTTTTAAGGGCGATATAGGCGGAGTCAATTGTCAGTTTAGGAATATCGATATAGATTTTTCCACTGACAATAATGCCTAACCATCCATCTGGCTTATATCTTGGAGTCATGACCAATGGAATGAGTGGACGTCGTTTCTGAAATGCATACTGAGCTTCTAATTGACAACAAGGACTTTGCTTGTATGCCTCAGACATACACACAAGAACATATTGAGAATTTTCAATAGCATAAGCCATGGAATCCATAGGAGATCCATACATATTTTCTCGATCAATCCATACTCGAAAACCATCTTTGATAAGACGATCATAAATAGCATAGCAAAGATCTTTATTACGATGTGAATAGCTCAGCATGATATCATATTGATCATTAGATGAAATATTTGTTGATTCAACGTCTTTTTTGTCTTGTTCAAGTTTCCATAAGATGCTGTCTGCAAATCGTTTTCCATCGTCATCTGTAGAATGAAGCAATGCTCTGAGATGCTTAATGAATTCAATGTTATTCTTGATAGTATTAAATGCTTCCTTATTGAATGTAAGAGCCAGTAATATCTCTAGCGACCATTTATTAGCCTCACCTTGTTTTATAAGTTCTGGTTCGGTTGCACATCGTATTAAAAGGGGTAATCCTTGTTGTTTGACAATCTCATCTTTAATTTGATCATGTTGTACTAGACCTAGGCGGAACAGAATTGAGCAGGTAATTTCACTGATTTATAAAATCGAATAGGTTTGAAATATATATTTTTGATATCTGTGAAGAACAAATACGACTATTTGACTTGATTTCTTAAAGAATTTGATAAATAATGATGTCCTCTATCATGAAGTTATCAAAGAATTTTCAAGTAACAATTTTTTTAAAATCTATATTTATAATTCCTATTACTTACTTTTTAAAGCTATTAATATATTACTTAGAGGTTCTCGTTGGCAAATATTATTGCTAATATCATTAATTTTTCTAAGAAAAATCGTAACAATTTTGTCAGATGATGCGAGTGTTTTAATATCTTTTTCTGTTAATATCGCTGCTAGAATACGATAAATTTGAAAATGTGTAGCTTCATCTTGAATACTATCGACTATTGTAAGAAGTCGTGCACTAATTTGAAGTTCTTTCATTTTACCAATGTATTGTTCGATAAAAATGAAACTTGATAATTGCTCAACAATTTCTTGTATTAATTCGATCTTGATTAAGTCATTTTCTCCTTGATTTGGATTTATGCTGAATAGCATTTCGGTCAAATGAGATAATAATTTTTCGTATTGATCGTAAAATGTTTCATTATTCATCATACCATAAGCACAAATAAACAGAAGAGCACAGATCGAACCTATCACCGTAGTTACCGATTTATTTACTTGTTTAAATGGAAGTCGTTTGTTAAAAAGTGGAAGAAGAATTTTTCGAACATCATTTAATATATCTCTGAGATGTTGACTTCTGCATTGGTGTAAAAAAAAGTGGACATCTTTCAAAAAAAAATTCTTCTCGTATACTCATATCTGTTTGTTCTCCGACATGTTCAAGCATTTCTTCATAATTATGTGATACAAAACATTTTGCCACTGCTTCGAAAAGTATTTTCATCAAAGGATCATCTTGAATGTTAAGTCTCTTTTGATTTAATTTTTCATATGCAAAAAGTAGATTATTTAGAATTTCTACGAATTCTTCTGATACATTCAATATATCCTGAGCACATTTATTGATACTTTCACTGAATTCATTAATTAATGGTTTGTATATCAATAATCGTTTGAATATATCCACATGATTATTAACGAATTTAAAGGTCATACTACTGATTAAGCTGGAAATGTTTTTGGTCAATTGAGACATTGTCTGATTATTTCGATAGTCGTGTAAAAGTGAGACAAGTGTATCGCGAAGAGTAACAAAAAGTGGATGATCCAATACGTGAGGATCATTCATTTGTTCCTTTTTAATCGAATGTAAAACATTCACTATTATATTTAGTAGAGTGGTATTATTTAGATCGTTGTGTTGGTTGAGTTGAACGAGAATATTATCGCAAAATGTTTTTACTTGATCAATGGTAACTACTTTTGATTGTCTTTGGAATTCTTCACAAAGCTGATTGATAACAGACGAACTCATTTTACTAGAAATGAAAGACTTCAAATAACTGTGTAGAAGATTACGAATAGTGAATTATAATGCAGAAGTTTGTCGTCCTGTATAGAGAAAAAAAGCAAATGCAAACACTTGTCGTCTAAGATGATTTTTTATGTTGCTAAGAAACAAAACAAAGAAAAAGAAAAATGAGAATTTTTTTTTGACTGTAATGCATTTTTTTTATAATTGGCAACTACGTGTAAATGTACGTATGCATGTATAAAATATAAAAATTTTATTGAGAAAATAATCGAAATAGAAAACGACCAGAACAATGTTATTTACTTGTATCAATAAGTTATTAGGTGTGGATGTTTGAAGGGTGTACATGTGTGGGTGTGAGTATCAGTAAAGAGAACACTAGAAAGAAATCGCACTCATTCCTTATCAGAACTGTGTTGCAGACCTATGGATATTATCATTTCGTCATATTGTAATGCACTAATCTAGAAAAAAAGATCTTTTGTTGAGACAAGAATAGATGCAAAGTTTTAAAGACAAAATAAAATTGAAAGCGACCACTATATAGATAAAACCGAACGATTTTTAGACTTGGAGTGTTTAATTTTTTTTTGGGAAGATGCACCAGTTATCATTTCAAAAAATGCGAACAAAGGAATCTTATCTTTATTTTAGTTTTAACAATCAAAAATCTGACTTGAACTTGTAAAAGTTAATAGACTGTCTGTTCTTACACTTTTTGCCCGAAATCATATTACACGCTATCACAAGAGAAGTCTCTTGGTCTCGACAAGTCTAATAGATCTGAATAAATTCAGCTCTGATAATATCTTATACACGCAATATCTTCGATAAAATTATAGACAAAATAAATCAGCATGTCACAAATATTGCATAAGCAAATTGAGTAAGAACACTTTCAGGTAAGAAGTTTTCGTTACAATGTTCTTCATCATAAAATTCATTTTTTTAGTTATCAAAAAACATTATTGATTACTTGTAGTGTTTAATGTCAAAAACTATAAACATTGATATACAACTACATTTTTTACTGTAGAAATAGTTTTGTTATATGAATTGTGGTAAAAATTTTAAATAGATCAGAATGAACACGTTTTCCTTCTTCCATAGGTCATCGATAAGGTTGACTATAATTGAGTATTGATGAAGTTGTTGTCGGGATCAAATGTGAAAAAAAGAAGTTGTTACAAATGATCATTAAGGGAATAAATAAGATTCAGAATGCATTTTACAGATTTCTTTTTTTTCATCATTCATACGAGATGGTCTCCGATGCTATTGATTATATGAATCATAGATATCAAATGAAACATATTTCAAGTTAGGTAACCATTTTGCCAGTGATGTGCACAAACGTCAAGTACTATCTAATGTCAATATTATATCGTCAATATTCAATGATTGTATCTATCTAATAGAAAATCACATTGATTTCAATAAAAATAAAAATCTACAATTAATTCAAAGCTTCTTATAAATAATCCTTTTATTTTAACATTGAAATTTCAGTCAAACTAATCTGAAGACAATTGTTTTTTTTTTGTTTTAAATAGAAACCCTTACTTGTTGTTTGACATGAGTTCCAAGATTATGATGATCACAGAATATTGCGCATATTAAAATATCACCATCATCATCTATGTGTAGTGTATGCACATTATAAGCCATTCATACTATTGCTTCTAACCTAGATGAAGTAACAACTTCGCCTGTATCGGTTGAGATTTTTTTTAATAATGACCATGAAACCAGTGATGATAGTAAACTGCTATGATTACTGAGATCTAAAAGATAATACCCATTTGCCTGTCGAAACAAATCTACGACATTCATGGAATGTTAACAATATCTAAATACAAGAAAAATATTTTTTTTTGCTCTACTTACTTTTCTAAATCTGCAGAAAATAGGTTCAATGGAAGCTTTATTGTCGATAAGTAAATGGACTTAATAAAAATGAATCAAGAATTTCTTTTTCGTCCAAACCATATTGAACATAGAATAATAGATGAAGAATATGGGTTATCAATGATTTTATTCGATCAATTGCTAATTTTTGAATAGTGTCACCTGATATAACTAATGGATCAGGAATTGATGTATATACTTTAAATTTTAGGGTGTGGATGCCCGATTAATATTACACCCATACTCACAACTTCAATAGTATTGTCAACCATGCGGTTAAATTCTTTTTTGTGTACTTATTCAATAGCTTCATCTTATTTCATATATTAATGACCGCAACGTTTGCATTCAAGAAATATTTGAAAATGTAAAGAATACTTTTACTTAATATCATAATACAAATGAAATGAATAATAAAAACAGTTAATGAATAAAATACAAAATTAACAAGTCTGTAAGAGAATATTTAAATTGTCTGTGCCATCATTTGCTACGGCAAAATCCAGCTTTCTGTCATTGTTGAAATCACCACTGACAACGAAAAACGGGCGGGATCCGTAATCCAACGAAAATGGAATAATACTTGCGAATGCGCCATTACCATATCCAAGAAATACACCAAGATTATTAGTGCCATGATTAGCGACAACAATGTCTGGTATGGTATCGTTGTTAAAATCATCAACAGCTACAGAATATGGGTCAGAATTAGAGCCCGTTGGATATGTCGTTTGATTTGTAAAAGAGCCATTGCCATATCCGAGAAAAATACCTACATTATTAGAACCATAATTAGCAACGACAATATCAAGTCGACTATCATTGTTGAAGTCATGAACAGCTATAGAGTATGGAAACGAAGATAGGCCAGTTGAATATGTCACTTGATTTGCAAATGAGATATTACCGTATCCAAGAAAAATACCAATATTGTGTGTACCCAAATTGGCAACGGCGATATCCATTCGGTTATCATTGTTAAAATCACCAATGGCTAATGATCGTGGTCGGCAACCATTACCAGTTATTAATGTCGTTTTATTAATGAAAACTATATTGGTATAACCAAGAAGTAGACTTACATCATTGCTACCATAATTGGCAACAACAATATCCAGTCGATTGTCGTTATTGAAATCACCAACAGCTACAGACGATGGAGACGAACCAGTGGAATATGTCATCTGATTCCTAAAAGAATCATTGTCAAATCCAAGAAGAATACGGACATCATTGCCACCATAATTGGCAACAACAATATCGAGTTGAGTGTCGTTGTTCAAATCAACAACAGCTATAGATGATGGATCAGAACCAGATCCAGTTGAATATGTTGTTTGATTGGTAAAAGAGCCATTTCCATATCCGAAAAAAATACTGGCATCACTGCTACCGTAATTAGCGATAATGATATCTAGTCGAGTGTCGTTGTTGAAATCACCAACAACTACAGAGTATGGATTAGAACCAGCTACATATGTCATTTGATTTCCAAAAGAACCATTTCCATATCCAAGAAGGACACTAATATCATTACTGTCCCAATTGGCGGTAACAATGTCTAATCGAGTGTCATTATTGAAATCAGCAATAACTACAGACGACGGAGAAGAGCCAGTTGCATATTTAATCTGATTTGTAAAAGACCCATTACCATATCCAAGAAATACACTCACATCATTACTATATGAGTTGGCGACAACGATATCCACTCTTATATCGTTGTTGAAATCACCAACAGCTATAGAGAATGGATAAGAACCAGCTAAATATGTCATTTGATTTGCAAAAGAGCCATTACCATGTCCAAGAAGAACGCTCACATTATTGCTACCGTAATTGGCGACAATGATATCCAGTCGAGTATCATTGTTGAAATCAGCAACAACTACAGACGTTGGATAAGATCCAGCTGAATACGTCATTGGATTTGCAAAAGAACCGTTACCATATCCAAGAAGGACACTGACATTGTTGCTACCGGAATTGGCGGTAACAATATCTAGTCGAGTGTCGTTGTTGAAATCACCAACAGCTATAGAGTATGGACCATAGCCAGTTGAATACTTCATTTGATTTGCAAAAGTTCCAACGTTGTATGCAACAATGACATCTACATTATCACTGTCATCATATGTGACAACAATCTCCGATTGTTTGTCATAATTGAAATCACCTGAAACAGCAACAGACGGAGTGGAAATGAAACGAATTCCGTTAGTTGTTTGAATTGCAAATGTTCCCTGTCCATCTCCAAGCAGTATATCTATGTTCTTCGAACCATAATTGCCAGCAGCAATATCCAATTGAGTATCACCATTGTAATCACCCATGACGATAAAAGTTGGATGAGAATTTGAACCAGTATTGAGCATCATTTGGCTGCTGAAAGTGCCATTTCCACTTCCAAGAAGGACACCTACAGTATTAGTGCCGTAGTTAGCAACGGTGATATCCAATTTAGTGTCATTGTTCACATCCGCGACAGCAACATATCGTAGACGAGAACCACCACCAGATGCTAGAGTCGTTTCGTTCACCAGAGTTACTCTATTATGTTGAAGCAATACACTTATATTATTGCTATAGTAATTGGCAGCAACGATATCAAGTCGGTTGTCGTTGTTAAAATCGCCAACAGCTACAGATCCTGAACCAGAACCAGTTGAATAGGTCATTCGGTTTCCAAAAGAACCATTACCATATCCAAGAAGGACGTTCACATCGTTGCTACCGTAATTGGCGACAACTATATCTAACCGACTGTCGTTATTGAAATCACCAACAGCTACAGATTGTGGACGAGAGCCAGTTGAATATGTCATCTGATTCCCAAAAGAACCATTGTCGTATCCAAGAAGGACATTGATATCATTACTAGCGTAATTGACGACAACAATATCGAGTCGAGTGTCGTTGTTTAAATCACCGACAGCTACCGAGTATGGATTAGAACCAGTTGGATATGTCGTTTGGTTTGCAAAAGAACCGTTACCATGTCCAAGAAGGATACTGACATCATTGCTATACACATTGGTAACAACGATATCCAGTCGACTATCATTGTTGAAATCACTAACAGCTACATAGAATGGATAAGCGCCAGTCGAATACCTTGTTTGATTTGCAAAAGAGCCATTACCATGTCCAAGAAGGACACTGACATCATTGCTGTGTACATTGGTGACAACAATATCAACTCGGGTATCGTTGTTGAAATCAGCAACAGCTACAGAAGATGGACCATAGCCAGTAGAATATGTCATTTGATTTGAAAAAGAACCGTTACCATATCCAAGAAGCACGCTGACATCATTGTTATCCATATTGGCAACAACGATATCGAGTCGGGTATCGTTGTTCAAATCAGCAACAGCTACATAATATGGATTAGAACCAGTCCGAAATGTCATCTGATTTTCAAAAGAACCGTTACCATAGCCAAGAAGGATGTTGGTATTATTGCTACCAGAATTGGTAACAACGATATCCAGTCGAGTGTCATTGTTGAAATCACCAATAGCTACACACGATGGAAAAGAACCAACTGAATATGTCATTTGATTTGCAAAGCGCTCGTAATAACTAAGAAGAATATCTATAGAACCAGTATCGTTGCTAACAAGGACAATATCTACCCAATTGTCTTTGTTGAAATCCTCTATGACAAATGAGATAGAAGAAACTGCTCCAGTTGAATACATCATTGGATTTGTAAAAGTACCGTTTTCATAACCAAAAAGTATAGCTATGTTGTTTGTGCCATTATTGGCAACGACTAAGTCTAGTTGTTTGTCCTGATTGAAATCAACAACACTAATCGAATATGGAGAACACGAATCGATGAAATAGGTAATTTGGTTTGTGAAAGTTCCGTTACCATTGCTAAGAAGTACGCCTATACTGTTAGTTCCATAATTAGCGACAGCAATATCATCGAGAGTGTCGTGATTGAAATCGCCAACACTGATTGAGTGTGGGTGAGAGCCAAAGCTAGTTGAAAAAGTTATTTGATTTGTAAAAGTGCCATTGGCATTTCCAAGAAATACACCAACATTGTTAGTGCCATAATTAGCAATGGCAAGGTCTAAATGTTTGTCATTATTAAAATCTCCAGCAGCCAGTGAAGATGGAAAAGAATCATAGCCTGTTGAGTATGTAAATGGGTCCGAAAAGTTACTATTGCCATATCCATATAGTATACTTATACTATGGGTTCCATAATTGGTGGTGGCAATATCAACTTGTCTGTCGTTGTTGAAATCAGCTACAATAATGAATATCGAACGAGATGAACCAGTTGAAAGCTCTCTGTCTTTCGCGAAAGACCCATTTCCACGTCCAAGAAATATACCGACGTTATTAGTGCCAAAATTTGCGACTGCCATATCCAATATATCATCATTGTTCAAGTCACCAACTGCAACCATGTATGGAATAGATCCAGTACCTGTCGGACACTCAATTGGACTTGAAAAAGTACGATTGTTATATCCAAGATATACAGCAATATTGTCAACGAGATGATTGGCAATAGCCATATCTAGCCACGTATCGTTATTGAAGTCACCAACAGCGACAGATCGAGGCCCATAATTGTATTCAATTGGGTTTTTGACCGTTGATTTGAACTTTAGCTCACACTTTTGAACTAAACGACATAAGAAAAACGATGTAAAGACTAATTGGTTGCTTAAGTGAAACTGTTTCTATTGGATCTTCATAAATCGTACAATACGTTGTCAGAAGTTGTTCTATTTTTTACTTGAACACAAATGAAAACCAGCATCTTTCTAGAGCTTGTGAGTAACAATGGACAAAACTATAACAAGAGACGAGAATAGATGTGAGTCTACCGGCTGACTGGAAGAGAACAAGAATACTGAGAACATACATCTGCAATAGCGAATGTATGTGTCAATGTTTGCATCATAAGGGCAACGAATGTTCACCAATACCTTTTCGATTGATTAGTGTGCAGTTATTTGTTGCTGTTAGTTTTCGCATAGTGAGCAATCTATGACTTCTATCGATCTATGCAATCAGAAATAGCTAGAAATGTTCCTTTGAGTGTTTACTTATAGATCTTCAGTCACATTTTATTTTACTTATAAAAAAAATGGCTTCTATATAAATAATAAAGAACATACCGCTAACTTTTCGTGAAGTGAAACAAACTATCAGTATACCAATAGTCATTGTTATAATTGTGAACATAGTAAATGCACCTGTAGCTATTAAATATCGATGTTCTGACGACCACGAATATTCCCTAACGAAAATATTCTCAAGATTATGATGATTGAGAAGAAAAGAAACTGATATACAAAGGTGTTGGAGTCATTGATGACTTCTTCATATTGCTAGTAACAATTATAAATCCTGCTGAATTAGATATATATTGGCTTGGTTTTTCATGTTGGCCATTGTTGACGCGAGAATGTTGTTCAGTAAAAGAATGTTCAACTGAAATTGCACTATTATCAATATAATTTTCGTTCATCTACAACGACACAAGCATATTTTACAAAAATAATTTTTAGGAAGTAGTCATTGATCATTAGAACAAGTTTCTAAAATAAAAATGAATGGTGATCGAAAATATGTATACAGAAAACGCGATTTACAATGGATATGCTTTCAAACAAGATATTTTTCTGTTTCGAAATTGACTTGATTGGCTAGATGTTCTTATTTAAAAATGACCTTCTGCTAATTGATTTGTCCTATTTATCTGTAACCTTCCTTATTCAATCTTTTTGATCAATGAAAATGTACTTTATTAACTACATGATGCATTCTAATAACCAGTATAATTTATACATATTGGTATTTTATCTTTTGTAGTGTAGATGTATTATATAGTTTAAAACAAAAATATGTTTCATACTAAAAGATTGCTAAAGAATCGATGAATATTGGAGTAAATCGATTCTATCTATTTGTAAATTCACTAAAGACAGATATGAGCGAATGCTAGATAAGTCTTTATAGGACTCTTACGTCTCCAAAATAAACGTCAAAAGTCATATGAGAGAATTTCTTCAATCGATACCGTTCGTTTGAACTAATTTTTTTCGAATAGAGTAGAGTTACAATGAAGATGAAGACTACAAAATGAATTTATCTATTGCTATTTAGTTTTAGAAAACATGAACACAACTGATTTCTGTATTTCAGATTATTTTATTTGGCTTATGTCTCAATAATTTAAATTGACAATTGCATTACAAACTCATCTTATATATCATATTCATTTTAACAGTCATATATCAATGTAATTTGTTGTTCGTAGGATAAATGATTCTGTCTCTACTTTTTGTGCTTGACTTTCATTTAAATGCTAAGTAATTTATTGAAAATAACCCTAAGCAAAAAAAATCATTTTAGCTAAATAGTAACATTCACAAATAACAATATTCCAAATCTATATCAATCCATACCCTTATGCGTACGAATCAATAAAACTGGGTTCTCAGCAACTTTAATTTTAACGGAGAATTTTGTCAATTTCAGCGTGTTTGTGTGTCGATATGAGTTCTGGATGTTAATGAAAGCCTTCTTTTTAAAAACACTCTCGTCTCTACACTCGCATCTACATCCTAAATTTGAAATAAACTTTCAATGACAAATATTTATTGAAAAAATAAAGTGAATGGAGGTGAAAACGTACTGGAAAATAGGGAACCCAAAAAAATCTTGAAAGACTAATACAGATCACGTATAAAAGAAACAGGTATGCATTCACACATGACATCAGAACGAAAAATATAAGTGAAATATACATGTATCACGGTGATGGTTCAATACTGACAGAAGGAAAGAAAGAAAGAAAATATAAACGCCATACCACCATAAAAGAATTCAATCTGTCTTAGATAATTGTACTTAGTCCTTATTAGAAATTATTTAGTGTTAATAATTTTTACTTAGCAATTTTGTTTTATAACTATGATTTCAATTTATAAACTTAGCAAATACAATTCTTCTTCAAATATTAGTAATATTTACTGACGTTGTGCACAATGATGCGTACATGATCATAAATGAATCAAATACAGCATTTTTATGGTGTGCTGTAGATTTTCATTTACAGATATCCGTTTACAGTTTGATATATGGCTCTTGTAAGATACGAATAAATTACAAATCGCATTTCTGCATTAGCTATTATAGTTAAATACGAATCTGAAACAGTTTTTATACATGCCTTTTACATTTGGAAAAAGCATTATGAACAGATTCGTTCTAATCGATTCAAATTATCATAATACAATACAACAGTTACTAGTAACATTTATTTCATTTAAATTTTCTCAATTTTAAAGAAAAAATGAAAATAGTACAAATAATGATACTGACTATACTTTTTCGTACATGACTAGCGTTTACATTTGATTTTACTCTTATTTTCATGGATCAACAAGGTTATTTTCTAATCGGCAATACTTTTTATACTTGCTTGACTATTTTTTTATTGCATAATTTATATAAAAGACATTTTATTCATGAGATAATTAACGTCATTTGACTCTAGTAAATTATACTTATCATTACAGTCCAATCTAATAGTTATATTCTACGCATATGTACAAACTTGCTTTAAATGTGTTCGAAGAAGAGAACTGATAAATTATATCGAAGAAGAAAAAACATATACCTTGACAATTCTACCGTGACGATTTTTTTTTTATCATACGTATCACTTTTGTTTTTCTTTTCTACTTTTTAAACGAATTGATGAAATACTGATTGAAAAAAAAAGAAGTAAGCTTTTAAACAATAACACAAAAACTATACTAAAAATTGCATATCATATCAATCGACTTTTTGTCTTAATTTACCTCAAAATTATAAATGAATAAAAGAAATTATAGTTAATTCTATCTTTCATATGTCCTATGCAAAGAAAATCAGTCTCTTTAGTTAGTTGACTTAGAACATTAAAAGCAATCAAATTCTTGCGGACAGAAAAATGAATATTTCTGAAACTTTATCCACTGATGATGAACATTAAAAATCTGAGCATGTATCTACTGAAAACTGAATAAAACATCCTCCATGTGTAGATAACAAGGGCATTTAACGAAGTTTCATAAAGAAAAGCTCATGAACTTTAGTTAAATCTCAGAAATTTGTAAAAATGCGTTAAATTTCTCACACTTTTTCAGACGTGATTATCTTTTTAACGATAACTAACTCGTTACATGTTCTTAATTATTGTATTCGTTGTCACGCATGATGTTTTAAAGTCGATTAAAGGGTGCTGATTAAACAACGACAGATATGTAGATTGTGTGCCAATCAACGTCAGTGGCACGATCTGATTATAAAAATACTAACAGGCAAGAGTTTGAGGGTGTGGGTGACAAAAAGAGCCACACTCACCCATACGGCCATACCTCAGTTAGAAAAATATTTCTAAATTATTGATAGCTTTCATTTGATCATGGGAGTCAGAGTATTAAAAAAAACAATCGAGCTTTGTTAACGAATCATGAAGCTCTATGGTGACACTGAAACTCAACTCCGAGGTAACTGTTTTTGAGAGCATTGTTTGCTTCCTTATCAGTTTACGGTTGCAACACAAAATGTATATTTAACGAATATGTTGTTTGTCTTCAGTTGCGATGGCATATTTTCAAAATAAAAATATCTATTTTGTGGACTTCTATGGGCTCTATCTATTACACAAAAAAAATGAATTAAGCAATAAATTTCAAGAAAGAAGTTTTTTTTTTGTAAAGAACCTCGCATTAGTATATTATTTTTAATGCCAATGAAAAACATAAACTAGTTGTTTTCTTTTCGAAATGTACTTGACCTTAATCTAACGAATGAAAGCTGCCGCTCTTTATATACAATTAAATGTTGAACAGTTCTATTCAATCAACAACTATTGAACAGCCATGTCTAACTTTGAATTATTAATATCTATTTGATACACGAGTTTCTTCCAGGCTATCTGTTCTATCGAAAACAACAAAAACTGTCAGTAAAATGATCTCATACATCATTATAATGTGAATGACGATAGCTTCAAATACCTCTCTTATGATACATGGGTTCTCATTTCTCGAAGTAGGCAAAATGAATCACACTCTACAGCACAGATCCGAGTGAATTCGCTTGATCCCAACCGTTATCAAAAAATCCACTAGAAAGGAGCTGGCCCCAATGTGACCAATGTCACTTTTCAATCAGCAAGAACAGATGCTATACTTTGATCTTCGCCGAAAAGGCTGAGAAGCGATAACTATTTTATTGAGTTGAAATCTCCACTGTGGTCTTGTGCTTACGAATTACTAGACGCACTGAACGAAAAGAATATGTAATGTGTAAATAAATCATAGATATTGTACCTTACAGGTGGACAACGACAGTTGCTTATTATAAACTTCCCAAGAGGTGAATGATCAGCTCTGATCAAGTTCATGTTGCGATGACGAAAATGTACGGGCTAACGACAACATTAGCCTATCAGAGCAACATTCTACAATAAGAGACGAAGAATGTTTCTCTATGTTTATGACAGTGAAGTTAATTCTATATTGCTGCGAACATGATTGTAAGTAGTTAACTGTGATTGTGCAGTACGTTAGTCTTGTTGAATATTTTCGCGATAGAAGTTTCGTCAAACGTGAACTTCTATAGTCCGTACTTTCTTTTATGAAACCTCGAAATTCAATATTGAGCAATATGTTGCTCAATAGTATCAAGTTTCTTTTAGCGAATAAAGTTCTGTGTGCAAAGTGAAGATATTCTCATTGATATGCTTGAAGCTGAAACTTTTTCTCGATGAATGTTATGCACTAAATAATTTTAAAAGCAGTAGTATTGAACCCTCTACAGTAGTAAAATAAATGACAGCTCAGCAGCAGATTGGGTGTGGGTGTGGGTGAAAAGACAACAAACACCTACACCCACACCCACAATACTTAGTGTACAGTGAACAAGAGCATAAAGGATGTGGGTGGGTGTGGATGTGAATGTGAATGAAGACAAGAGTGCCACATCCACACACAGCCACAACCACAGTGACTATCACATCCGCATCCACACCCCACACTTTATTCAAACTATATTCTAAAAAAAACATAATATCATAGGAAAATACATCAGATTGTAGAGAATTTTTCGTGTTATCAGAATATATACTTACTTTTTCAAATGGCTTTTGCTAAAGTAAAGATGCATCTAAAATATTGACCACAAAGATAGTGACAAACTCAGGTTATGGGGAATCTAACCATTAGGGTGCGTTTACTCTACTTGATTTCATTTTCAACAAAGAAAAGCAAAGTAAAATTAAAATACAGAGGTTGATAGAGAACTTAAAGCGCTATATAATGGTATAATTACTTTTTCCAGAATTTGCTTTCAAAAGTTCTAAAAGAGCTGAAATACCGACTGCAACAATTGATTTTCAGGGGTATATATTCTTAACATTGAGTTCAACTAACACAAATCAATAGTTGTCAATATTGTCTGTAGCTCCTCAGAAAACAACAACAAAAAACAATCGCGCATCTACAACTCGACAGCCAGATTTGGTACAGAAGTATAAGAAGTTCATGGTGTCTGTTTTGAAAATCCAGAGCAATATGTTGCTCTCATTATATTTTATTATTTAAAAAGAAGAATCAGCCGTATAGCAATGAATAGTAGCAAAGCTTGCAGTTCAAATTGACTGGCACTATTTGGAGGAGCAGTAGGAGGGAAAGTAGGAGAAGGAGTAGGAGATGCAGTAGGAGGTGAAGTAGGAGAAGGAGTAGGAGATGCGGTAGGAAGAGTAATAGGAGGAGTAGTAGGAGGATCAGTAGTGACTGAGTTGACTGGCTTTACTCGAAAGGCAATCTCATGTGTTGCCATCAAATTGTATGTTGTATCCAGGGCTCGAATTCGAACATAATTATCACCTTCAATAGCTGTCCATTCGAATTCACTCGTTAGTACATTAAATGTAGCATCTTTAGGTAAATGCACTGCGGATAGAACAATAACATTCGACGGATATTCACTCGAAGCATTTATTTCTAAATGAATTTGATCGCCATGTTTTGCTTCCATGTAAACAGGAAGTGAAATATCGAATAGAGGCGGATTTCGTTGGTCGACTTTGATTGATGAAATTTCATCACCGGCATTAAATGATGTTTGACCAAATGTTTCATCTTTTGTCACTGATATATCATAGTAGCATGTTCTTTGAGCAATACTCCATGAAGACGATTCCGAGGTAGGATCAATTTTGCAAGCACATGGAATAGATTCGTCTTGCTCTGGTGAAACACTGGGCTGTGTAAATGACGGCAGAAATAATCGGTTTTGTTCTTTGAAAAATTCAGCTGATTGATCCGATTCATAGTGAAATAAAGAAGCAGTTGGATCGATAGCCCAAGTAACGCCGAATTGTTGATGAATTTGTTCTAATGAGGCAGTACTACTCACTATTTGTCCATCTTGAGCTCGCAGATCATTAGTGGCTTGATTATCATAGGTACCCAATAGACCATACGTTCGTCCACGAAACATGCCAGCTACAGAAGCAGCTACATTGAGTACGAGTATTGCCGATGGTGATGTCATTTCAATTAGATTGATTTGAATAGTAACACTGAGTGTCCAAGAGAGGGTGAGCACAATTCCATCAGTTAAATTTCGTTCGATGGTCATTTCAGGGAAGAAGAACGTATTGATATTGTCTTCGAACTCGATCATTTCAGTTCCACGACGTACAACAAGATTTTCACGACGAGAAACAGTGATACTTATCGGTTGACTTTCAGGATCACTTGATCGAGCAGCAAAACCTTTTGTAACAGTGACGTCATTCGACGAGATTGGAATAGTACGAATTTGTGACATAAATCTGTAGGATTGTTCGAAAGGATTGAATGCGGCTGGTGGAGACAGATCCTCACTAATGGCCAAATAGGTATACTCTCCGTAACCATTGAACATGTAAGATGTTCCATCAAGTGTGATGAAGTGAGGATCACCCCATGTGCCACCATTTTCACCCATCGTATTGCTACCTCTTCGTGGCGGTCGATAGCGCATATATGTGTTGCATATGTCATCATGGGTATCCATCATACAACATTGTAGATAAGGCAAAGTGTCATCGAAGAAATGTTGGACAGGCGATGATGCAAGTCGATATCGATCATCCGTACCTGCTCCTGTACCACGTGTGATTAATTGTCCTTCGATATCGTAACAACATTCGGCACCAGCACCATGAATATTTGAGCTTTTCGATAAATAACATTCTACGGCCGACTGTTCATCACGTTGAGGACGAGCCCGGTGAAGCCAGCAATTGTTCGAATCCGGATTACCTCGATAGCATTGACTATCAAATTCGTAACAACAACGACCGGCAGCTACGGCTTGTGTGCGTGTCATTGGACAGGGAAGAAGACTACCACCATTCCATGTCGATGGTTCTGGCTGTCGACGAGACCATTCGACGCACGATTGGGAAGCGAGTGAAGAAGGATTGCGAACAATGAGAATGCCTGTATTCAATCCAGCATACGTTTTAGATTCGAAGCGAGCTACAACCCGAATAAAACATGTTGTAATAGACGAGATACTCTCAGGTAATTGAAGACGAATCGAGCTAAAGGTAGAATTTAAGTTTTGTGCAAGGATCACAGACGGACTCTCCTGTTGCAATTGCGACCAATTCTTAAGACTCACTTTCCATAATTCAATGTCAATTTTAGTTTCATCGGGAAATGTGTCTCGTGTAGATTCCGAAAAGCGCCAAGTGAGCGTGACATTATGTCCAACATTGAGTAGGTTGTCTCCGTTGCCCGTTTCAATGGTTACATCGTCGGAACCGAATCGTAATGGGGCATAAGTGAAAATACCAGCTGAAATATAAGAGTTTCCATCGTCAATCGATAAACTTACTAGTACTGGACCATATATCGATGCAAAAGGTGTCAAACATATGACTCGAAATCGATCAATGATGAGACCATCGACAATTTGCGATGATGAATCAAATCGACATTTGGGTTTTGTCCCATTATCGAAGCATGGTCCTTGAATATTGAGTGCTGTAAAACCGAGTTGCGAGCTGATGCGTGGGCGAAGGGTAGCAACAGATGCGTTAGTACCACAGCCGCCGGCACCAATCTCATCCGTATCGACACGAAAAACAAAGAGACCAGGAACATTAACATTGCTTTCATGAACTAGTCGGATAACATCTTCTGTTCGAGAATATGGAAGCATTTCGAAAGCAATTCCATCACCTGCATTGAAACCTGCCTGAGCGTAGGGTTCCGTAGTGTATCCTGGTCCGGCCCATTGCAAATCGTGATAGAGTATGAAGGCAAAACTACGATCTCCATCCGTAGCTAAGACGATTTGAAATGTATTCAAACGATCAATTTTACTATTGTAAGCACCCACACGATACCAAGTGCCCGTGATGACCATCGTAGGCGCGAACGGACGTTGTTGAGGGAAAAATCTTCGCACATAACCACTTGCTTTCGTAAACACGGACAATGTTGTATTCGATACAGATGTATCTGTATAAATCTGATATTAAACTTTGTTACCAATACCACTGACACCACCTCGCGTGTCAATATCCGCCCAGAATCCGGTTACCAGACGTTGATTGTTCGCTAGTGGGAATGGATCTGGGACGTACTGAGAAATTTCTGAGAGAAATGAAAAGAGACCGTTGTTTGCCACCCAAAGTTGACGGTGATTGTTGTCAAAATAGGGAAACAAGTGTGGGAGAGCGAGAGGACCTACGCTCGAGTCATCGTTGGGCGGCACAGTAGAGTCGCCTACCTGAGGCCCAAATGGAAAGAAATCATCCAATGATAAAGCGCTCGACGAGCGTACAAGAATAACACTGAAGATGAATAATGATAGCATTTTTGTGAAACTACAACAATAGCTATGTTAAAGTACTTCGTTTTATAGGTGAGGTGGACAAGAGCATTATTCATGATATAAGATCTAATCGTCTAAACTCAGTTTTTATTATATCCTCAAAATAGCTATTATTTCCTAGTTACGCATACAAGAAGAATGAAATATTTTCGCAAACGTTCATGACTGAATTATATCATAGTCATAAAACTTCAGTTTTACATACATGAGCGCATAATAATGGTGTTGTTGTTGGTAATCATAGTTATTCTGGCTATCTTGCTGGTGTATTGGTCCACTTGAAGACACTTTCGTTTCTTCTTTAGTTTTTTCTTCCTTGCAAATAATGCAATGAAAAGCGTTCGATAAAGATTAGCATAATAAAACTCATACGAAGAGAAACTACACTTACGAAAAAGATTATGTACCATTCACGATCTGATGTAAAAGTCGCACAAAAGAAAAAAGACTGATTTGAGGCAAACGCAAATCGTTTTCGTAGAAATTTATAGTGATAACATAATCTTCAACGAACGCTTAGAGGAAAAACAACGCACCAATGATTGAACAAACTAACTGTGATCAATAAAACTGAACATCATGCATAAAAATTGACTAGGTGAATATAAAAACAACTGCAATAATGTGTCCTAATGTTACTACTGAATGATTAGTGCATTGTCAACAATTTCAATGTCGGCATTTTGTTTTCGTTAAAATCTTTAATATCGAATTTCCTTAGCCGTTTCCGGTTGAATGCTGCCATCTGGCAACATTTAGTCAATATTTCATGAAGGGTTGACTTATACTGATGATACATAGTTTTGACTAAGTATTTTTCCAAAAGATTCAGTCTTCAATTCTCTATAAGATCATAAAGAAATAAATGTCAGCGAGACAAATGCAAAAAATGTTATTAAAATACTACTGTAAACATGCAATATCAACAACTTTCCAGCCCAAAATACGATTTTCTTGTATTTATATATTCTCATGTCAAGCTATAAAGACAAATTAAACTGCCCGTTTTGTAGAGCTTCAAGCTCTCTATCTAATTAGTATGTTAAAAAAAGTTCTATAACAGAGCTTTATAGCATAAAATCAACGAAACCTTCCAAACAATTTGATCTTTTTTAGCATAATTTTGCATTTTCTTGAAAAATTCATTGAACTTGGCCAAGTAATACTTCTTTAGTGCAACATGTTTAGTTGCCGAAAAGCTACTGCGTCATACTATGAAAGTCTATGTCCATTCTTAATAAATGTCTCTCCCTGCCGACCAGATGCAATTAGGAAGCCAACGTATAACAGATATGGAATAGTTGTCCAATAATTGGATATTCTGATGATATTTGTTAGTAATTTTCTTTCTTATGTTTCATCAGATAGAGCGTTCATGATTGTACCAGAGGTAGCACTTTAAAACTTTTAATAAGTGTTTTAGTCGTAAGAAAAAACGTAAGTCAACATGAATAGAAGTTCATGGAAAGTTATTAATAATATTTGTTCTCAGTATTACTAAAAAAAATTTTTGTGTTTTATCTCTATGGCATGACTTTCTCTATGCTTTTACAGAGAACTGACCACCGAATCTTTTAATAAAAACGTATTCCGAAATTATAAAAACTGAAAGAGATATGGGAGAGATACGAAGCCTGCCATTAATTTTGCGCCACCCATTACTATAAGATCAAAACCTTTTTTCCAAGAAAGAAACGACTGACTTTGTGACTTTTTTTTGAATTAATTCACTTAAAATAGCTTTCGTAACTTTAATGGCTTTGAAAAGTATATACTCCTAAGCAAAATCTTGCCCTCCTCTTTCTTATTACGCTATCATACTTCACATCAAACTTATTACCTAGCAAAGATATGATATAATAGTTTTATTTCAATGTGATGTACAGATCATACCGAAATAAAACTCTTATGTCATATCTTTACTTGGTAATAAAGTTGATGCGCATGAAATATGTTAGTATGATAAGAAAAAGAAGGAAAAAACTTTTTCGGAGTGTAGGTGTGAATGTGGATTGGGTGTTGGTGTGGGTGCGAGTGTGGGTGTGTGGATGTGGGTGAGTGTGTAGGCAGTTATGGGTCTAGTTGTGCGTGTAGGTGTGGATAGGGCGGTCTGGTCGCGTCTGGGAGAGTTCGTGTTGGTGTGAGCGTAAAGAAAAAGTATAGTCACACCCACACTCTAGTTGTTATAAAAATACCGAACTGATTTCCAGGACAAATTTTTGACTGCAGATGTTTTTGGTCTTCGCCAAAAGTTTGCCCTCAATGAACTAATTTTAAAGTAGATAAAATAATTCTTAATGTATAAGCGAGAAAGAGCATACAATTTTCATTCTGCTTATTAATTTATAAATAGGTAAAAAATTGAATGGATATGTTGTGCACAGACATTTTACTCACAGGCTAAATTCTTTATTATAGATTCAATACAAATCACACACATGAGTTAGTCAAAAACAAATAGAAATTAAATGAAACGAAAAGTTATTTATTACAGACGATTTTCGCCAATCCTATAAAAATCAAAGTAGCGATCGCCATGAGGTTTCCGAGTGTTTTGATAGCGCTGTTCTTATATTCGTTCGTACTATTTCTATACTCGGCAGAATTAGTCGTATATTCGTTAGTACTATTTGTATACTCGATAGGATTATTCGTATATTCGTTAGCACTACTTCTATACTCCGTAGGATTAGTCGTATATTCGTTAGTACTATTTGTATACTCGATAGGATTATTCGTATATTCGTTAGTACTACTTCTATACTCCGTAGGATTAGTCGTATATTCGTTAGTACTATCTCTATACTCGGTAGGATTATATGTATATTCGTTAGTACTATCTCTATATTCAGTAGGATTCTTCGTATATTCGATATCATTAATCCTATAAACCTTCCAAATACATTCCGAGCTGATTGGACTGGTAGCTACAATAGTATTACTCTCGGAGCTGAGAGTAAATTCTATGGTTACAAAATATATGGTAAAAGAAGTCGTATAGCCGTTCGGATACGGAACATCGCCTGAGATTGAGGGTAGCCCAAAGCATTGACCATCCAGATTGGCTGAAATTGTCAAAGTGTCTGTTGAAGAATTCGTCACTATTGTTTGTCCAGATAAACAACAACAAACTGTTGTGTTGCATCCATTATCAGCAATAAAAGTACCAATCCATGTCTGCGAGTGAACAAGTATGATGATAGATGTTCCAAGGAGAAAAGTAATTGTTGACTGCATGTTATTTTTGGTGAAGATAACACGAAACTAGCTGATACTCAACTTATGTGATTATAGCTGCATCTATTCCTTGTATACATGTCCATGACCAAGCAGAGTTCGACAAGAATATAATAGGAATGACGTGTGAGTGGATATTTGAAGTATATATAAATATATATGTATTTTTTCTTCGTTCTCTGCCAGCTTTCGAGTGCTCGACAGTTCCAATATTTCGAGCCTTCGGCAAACATTGAAGTTTCAAGAACTCAAAAAGCGAAAACTTATTGAAAGAATACGATCGATTCCTCGGGCGAACTTCGACCACTTGAAACCTATCAAAGTTCCAACTAATCAAGAAAAAGAAATGCATTGACAGAATAATTTTGAGTGGTCCAATAGAAGCAAAATTGGTTTAATACTAGTTTTGTCTGCTGAGTCTAATTTTCATTGCATGATACTTTCCTAAATAGGGATGTTGACATGTCTTTGACTTCTATTCAATGGTTTTAACAAATTTATGCATGTCTGACATATATCTCACATCAATTTCGTAATTTTCAAAACAATGCATAATGTCGAGTGACGACAACTAAGACCGAAATTCGTTAGTGTTCTCTTGAAGACAATGTAATACCAAATTTTAGCGCTTTACATGTTGAAATAAATCTGTAAGCGTTGATTTAATACTTGATCACAGAAGTGAGTCGATTATTGAACGTCTTATTCATTAAATACCGGGTGGAGCAAAAGTTTTGCCGCATTTTTTGTTTTGCATGTATCTCTGTTCAAGAGCATGACAAAACGTTGATCTTTTTTTAAAAGATGCGTCGTCGAATTCTCTACAAACTTCTCTTAGCCTTAATTTAGAACAATAGAACTGAACATTTTTCCAGGTCGTATAGTGTGATCATATGAACTGCGCTTACTTCCCACACACTTTTTTTTGTTTTTTCAATGAGCTTTCCAAGTTACAAACAGGCTCGTAACAGACTTTCTCTTTGTAATTTGAGTGTACATCAAATGCTCTTTCAGAATTATTTGTAAGTGTTTGATCGCAATCTATATTTATCTAAAAACTATGGCTTGTCTATGGTGCTACAACGAAAACGGCTCTCTTGGCACTATTCAGATTTTTCTTCAATGTAAATCGTTTTTTTCACGCGTTATTTGGGCTGCATATAGAAAGAGAAATCAATTCTCTACAAAATACTGGAAAAATGAACTCGATTTAGTTATAGGCGGCATTTCTAGAATGCTTTCTTTGAAAAGGAGAAGCCAGACATGAAAATCGCGTTATTTTCAAAATATGG